TTTCCCTCTGTCTCTCTCTCTCCAGTAAGCACATGCACCTATGGCAAGAATCCTAAACACAAAAACAAAAATAATATTCATATAAAATAGTATCAGTATTCGGATTCATTCATCCAAATGAGATACCTTTGATCCCTCAGGAGTAGATCATGCTGATGGATGAATTTACACTGAACTAGAGATGGCCTCTTGGCTAACGTCAAGGGACAAGGGTTTCCTTCCTATGAGTCATTAGCCTCCAAGTGTCCTTTGTTCTTCTGAACTTCCTGTACCACAAGTTCATTAGTCTGACAAATATTTTATAGTTAGGTTATTTGATATTTAGGTTATCCAAATTAGGATCCAAGGAAAAACAGACTGCCACTACTCAAACTCACATAAAACTGACTTGTAATGGAAAGTGTTGTGTCACAATCTTCAGTGTGAAATAGCTCTGATGCTGGGAATGCTGGCAGCTTCTGAGAAATGAGGTAGTCAATTGTGCTGAAAAGAAAATTGCTTTCTCCAGCATAGGGCTCCCAAACTTCTCTGTGAGCAACACCTTTTCCATATTCCACGTTGCCCTTTGCTGGGAGGCAGCACAGATAGCAGAAAAGGCCTAGTTCACTTGGTTCATATGAACACGTTTGATTTCTAATTCTGCTATGACTGGTTTTGGGCCTTAGCCAATCCATTAATCTTGCCAAGCCTTCATTTCCTCATATGCAAAACAAATGTGTTTCATAGAACTGTAAGAATTAAGTAAAATAATGTAGAGAAAATGCTAGTTGCCTGCCTTAGAGCAGACACTTGATAAAAAGTCTCACGTTTCCTTTTGTTTACACCAACATTCGTGATTAAGAAACACTGGACTTAAATCCAGACAACTTGTCTGGGATTTCAAATATTTCCTTGCTCCAGAAGCTATCCATCTGAGGTAACCAGGCTGCCTGGGATTGGTGGGAGGTAGTAAAGCTGACTGAAGACTGTGTAAAGTGACCCATTTATTAGGACTCTCGTCCCAATTCCCAAAGCCATTTCCTCGGCTTTACCAGAGGTTATCATTGGAACACACTGTAGCAGTAGCTGGTACCCAGTCCCGCTTTCATTAGAATGATCTCAGTTCCAAAATTAGCAATGATCTACAAACTGGAGGACTGAGCAGCTTTAGGGATCTCAAGTGCCACTGCTGCCTGTTCCACTCTATAGTTCGGGTGCAGCTACTTCACTTGGCTGCAATTTATAGTTGGAGATGATCTCTCCATCACTAACATCTATGGAGACAGGTCTTGACCTTCCCTAGTATGTAGGAGGCAGGAGCACACCAGCTTAAGTGGGTTTGGGGGTTAATCAAACCTGGTTACATCATCTTTGGCAAACTTATCATCTGTAAAATCAGGGATAATAGCACTTCTGAGGGGTAAGTGGGCATGAATGGCTCAATGTGATGCCAGAACTCAAGAAGTTAGTGGGGCCAGCAGGTAGCATGGTGGTTAAGGTGCTGGACTCCCACATGGTTGACCATATGTTTGAGTCCCAGACATGCCATCTTACTTTCTCAGATTCCCTCCCTCCCTCCCTCTCCCTCTCCCTCTCTCTCTCTCTCTCTCTGGTGAACACATGTACTCAGTAGCAACTGAAAAAATGAAATAAAATAGCCACAACAACCGTGTAGTTCACAGTTTCAAAAGACATGGCTAACGGCCTTAGAGTTCTGAGTAACAGGGACTTAGCAGCACCTAGGCCATGATATAACGACACATTCATTCTCAGACTGGAGGTACCCAATAGGGTAGGGCAAAAAGGAGAGGAGAAAACCCTTTGAAGCTGACTGGTCCGACTGCCTTTCTTTTCTAATGCTTCTTCTTCATACCAATCTTTCTGATTTGTATAGAAATATAAATGTCTTTCATTACCTGACACACCTCATAGACACTGTCTGATATAATGAGACCAGGGACCAAAGAAAATTTATTTTTCTCTGCTTCTGATCTTGATCCTCTTTCCTTCACCCCACAACCCACCCTTTCCTTTCTTAGCGTATTGATCACAAACCAGTCAGATAACTGGAAAATTTATTTCAGGGAAGGGAGGGCAGTGACAAGGAACTCTCAATGTATGCAATTCTACATTCATGTAGTGTTTCTAGGCTCTAGGTGTCCTAAGGGCAGGAAAAGACCAAGTCTTTTAGCTTCAGTTTGAGACAGGCCACAGCATTATACATACATCTAGATACTTAAAATCATAAATCATAAGCTGACTTGCTGTTTTGCCTATTTGGTATCATCTCAAAAGTCAAAAGCACAGGAACTATTAGTCCTAGGAAAGTAACTATGACTATTAATCTTTCTCTTCTGTCCACAACCAACTAGAAATAAAAACAATCACAAGATAGCCTAAATTTAGAGGAAGCAGAGTAAGGAAATTAGGCAAGCCTAATATTATTTATTCTAGCTTGAAGTGCTGAGAAACTTTTCCAGAATACCTGGACCTTAATAATAGATCATTCATAGGGGCTGGCAGGTGGTATGATGGTTAAGGCACTGGACTCCCACATGGTCGATTGCAGTCTGAGTCCTGGACCTGGAGGCTTGCTTTCTCACTTTCTTTCTCTCTGGTCAAATCAAAAAATAATGATGAATAAAATTACATAAATAATTATTTATTATATAAGAATTATATAAATAAAGATTTCTTCTAGAGTTTGAAGTAGTAATTATGGAGGTTTCGAGCCTGCCCACTAAACCCAGGAGAAAGTTTTTTCCAATGTAGTTGCCCAAATACAAACACAGACACAATTCCAAGCTAAGAAATGTATGCTGTAACTCAGGCAGTAAAGCACTGAGGTCTTCCTCACTGGATTCAAGCCCATGGATTCATGTATTATTTCCATCCTTTGCATCCACCATTTAAATTCACAGTCTATGTCCAGATATATTGATACCATCAAGGAAACACATAAGTCAAGTTACTCAGGTTTAATGATTCCATGGTTTATGTTGTTATCATTTGAACACATCACCTTTGTTCCATTTAAGTCTGCTCATGGTAGATAATCAAGTCACCTAGCTTCCCATTCAGAAGACTTAGTCAAGTCTTCTGTACCCCAAAATCGAACAAATCTCTATAATGAAATAATAGATACATTATTAGTTCGATTAATGGCCAAGCACTGGTCTTTAGGACACAAAGATTTCTACAATGAGCAAGAGCAGAAGAGGACAAAGAACAGATAGTATTTCAACCTGAGTTTTCTAAGTCCCTCTTTTACAAACAGCCTGAAGAACCAGCTGCCTTTCCTTAAAGAGGAATATGGATCTATCTCTGCAAGACTGAAGAAATTAAATTCTCAGGGAGGAGGAAGTTACAGGAACACATGTGGGGAAGGTGAAGACTAGACTGAAACTCTCTTAACTCCCTAAGCACATGACCAAAATACCTTTGGTGACAATAAACAATGAGAACTCTGGTTCAGGGGATATGGAGCTTTAGCCAGAATGCTGTCTGTGGGGAAGTACCCCAGTCCAGCTTCAGCTGAACTCCCACCATCTTACTGTGAGGGTCACAGCAATCTTTTGGAGTCCTCTGCAACAAATTCCCCCCACATCCCTACAAAGGCAGAAATAGTTGGAGATAAATCTCAAAGCTAATTCCTTGTATCCAGGCAAGATCAGAGCATACTGATTGAACCCTGCTCTGTAAGAAGCTAGGATTTTCTTAGTGAAAGTTCAACATCGAGAAGAAAGCCATTGACTCACAATCTCAGGCAAACTTTAGGCAGACAGGTTAAGGCAGAGATTAGTGGAAGAGACTTCAACCTTACCCAAGCCAAAATCAGGTCATTCAGGAAATCTCTAATATCAATCTAGAGCTCTCAGCCCTTTCTAGGATGGTCAAAAGAGGGGTGTTTTGTCTAGTTTGCTTAGGATGTTCCCAGGCCCTAATTAGATAAAGCTTCTGGGTTTCAGGATGAACTCACTATTTCTTGGTCCTCTGTACTAATGGACACTCTGTCACTATTTCAAACTTCCTGGTCTCTTTCCAGCCTGCTTTATGTCCCCAGAGAATTGGGGCAGCAGTAGACCAGACTCAGACTGGGATGAGATGGAATAAATAGCTGGTTACTGTGCATGTTCAGAAATTAGTTGAACTCCCTTTGGAGTCACATTTACTCCTAGCTCTGTGCTAGGAACATAATACTAAAACAAAAAAAATCTTATTTTAAAAGATTCTTACCACTTCCCCAACTTTTGCACCTCTCTCCCCACTGCTCCTCTCACATTCACACCACCAGAAGATGATGTCTCAACACTCTTAGTTATCTCTAGAGCCCAATGATAAAACAGCATTAATGGCATTTGGCATAAAATTCCACCCCACATTGAAGACTCCTTCCAGTCCAACACAGTGAAGAAATAAATGACAATGTAAGAGAAGAGACAATAGAAACTAGGGCCTGTCCCTTCCCATCCCACATAAAAGAGGCACAGAAACTTGAGGAGTTAGTGGAAACGGCATCATCTCTTGCCAGAAGGCCACCAACTACCACTGGTTGGGAGCCGCATTATCACTTGTTTCTCCTCTGGACTGAAGTGCAAAATAGTCAGTATGGCTGTGAGAGTCTGCTGGCGGCCCAGCGTGTCAGGTAAGGTCAGGAAGCGGTAGATGATGTTTTTGAGGTACTCCAGATTGGCTCCCTCCCTGCTTTGGTCCCTGATGTTCTTTTCAATATGGCTCTGCAGTGCTCCAACCTCCTCGCGATGCCGCTCCCCCTCCTCCAACAGTCGATCTTGCAGCTGATGCACCTCTACCTCTAGCCTGTGTTTCTGCTTCCTCAGCGATGTGATCTCCACCTCCTTGCGGGCCAACTGCTCAGCATACAAAAAGAAAGTGGGCTCGTTACCTGCAGCAAGTTGCAGTGCTTGGGTCAGGCTATCTGGAGATGTGTCAGCTGGGTCCCCAGGACCCCCACCACCTACAGGGCTTCTGCGGCCTGGCAGCCCAGAGGACAAAGCCACAGAACGCAACTGCTCCAGCTCCAAGTCCTTCTCAGCAAGCACAGCCAGAGCACGGTCTCGCTGCTTGTGCAGCTCCTCCTCTAGTTTCAGTGTACGGTCCCTGAAGTCCAGCTGGTTCCTCTCCAGTTCCTGCCGGTGCAGCTGCTGCAGCCGGGCCAGCTCCTGCTTCCAGTCCTCCGCCTCCTGCTGGTGCTGGCGCTCAAGCTCCTCGCAGGATAGCCGCAGGGAGATATACTTCTCCTTCAGTTCTGCAAGCTGTTCCTGGGATGCCTCCAGCTCTTTTGCCAGATTACCATCTTTGGTATTCTTGCTCTTGAGGACAACCTGAGCCCTCATCTTATACCTCTCAAATTCTTCCTTCAGCTGTTTCAGTTCCTGTTGGTAATACAGTGCAGTGGCCTTCTCTCCATCAGCAGTCTCTGAGCTAGGCATTATCTCCAAGTCACAGAGCTTGTCCACATCCAGGGTCACCTGGCTTTTCCTGGCTGCAACTTGCAGCAGTCTCTTGAGCTTCTCCATCTTATCTTTTAGGACATTCACATCCAGATTAGACTCATCTCCATGGCTGTCAAGAGGGGATCGGCTAGAGGCTGCTAAAGCCAGCGTCTTGTTCTCCAGGTCCAGCTGCAGAATGCGCTCCTTCAGCTTCCGGATGGTCAGCTGGTCCTTCTGTTTGGCTTTCTCATAGGTGCCCAGGAGTTCAGAAACCTCAGATATTTGGTTCTCTAGGGCTGCCACCCTTTGTTCTTCTACCTGAGACTGTTGGCGGAGCTGATCTTCTGCAAGGGCAGTCTGCAAAACAAGTGGACAGACACACACACAAAAAAATGCATCCAGAAAAACTACAAGGTCCTACAGCATATTCTGGGGATGGAAGCGGGGGAAAGAAACAAAAGGGTCACAGATCTTAAGGACCAGGCAAGAATGGAAGTTGGAGATTTTCCTGTTGATTAAGAAAGTTCCTGTAACCTTCCTGAGTTCTGCTCCCAGACATTGTTATCAAACAATATAAAGTAAGTTTGTGTATCTGCTACTATTCTGCTTCAGAACTTCTACTTTCTTCTATCATATACCTAGCTCACATACCTGATATGATACTATTGTTTATCACATGCATCCCCAAATCCTATTTAGAAATCATGACCTTCTTTTCCTCTTCTAATACTCCAGGAAGTTCAAAACTAAGTTGAATCTCTCCTCACACACGCACGAAAAAATACTGAAAACAATTTTTCTTTTCCAGAACAGGCAAATCTAGACCAAAAGCAATTATAAGAAGTTATTTGTTCTGGGAAATCACCTTTCCCCCTTCAGACCCTCTAGCTATAGACATACAACCTATAGGCATGCATACTCCTTTCACTGGACAGCTGCCACTATATTTCTTTGCTAAGCCAGCGCTCAGAAACTCAAAGCTATTTGGCTCCCACCCAACCTATACTCAGAAAGTCCACATCCTGTTGGAAGAACACTCTCTGGATACTGTCTACAACACAGAAAACAGGATTTCCCAGGACTCACTAGTGGAACTTTTTCAGCTAGGGTAAAAAATGACAAGAGTAGCCACTTAGTTCTAACTACCAAAGGAGAAGAAAAAAAAAACTAGTATATCCCACTTTAGGCTAAATAACTAATGTTTGAAGGAAATTAAGGTAATTTACCTTTCTTATCTCCTGCTGCAATTGAGCCTGAAAATGGCTCTTAAGGCGGGCAGTCTCTTCCTGAAGCTCTTGTAATCGGGGATCTGGCCGATTTTTCTCATCTCTAATGGCCTGCAGCTCACTCTTCAGCTCTTCCACCTCCCGCGTCAGTTGCTTAGTCTGCAGTTCAAACCCTTCCATCTGTTCAGCTGCATATGCTCGACCTGCCAGGGCTTCTCGAGTCTCTTCTAACCGAAGTTCCAAGTCCTGGCGCTGGGTCCTCTCCTCCTGCAGCAGTTTCTGGAGCTCCCGCAGCATCAAGGCATGATCACTCTGCTCTTGGGCCCGATCATGCTGTTGTGTGATAAGCCGGGCTTTGGTTTCTGCTATCTGCTCCTGAAGTCCCTTCAATTCTCCCTCCAAGCGGCCCCTCTCCTCCTCTGCCTTTTTATTGGCATCCTCTAAATCCTGCTTCATCTTCTTCTTGTCAGCCAGGTAAGACGCCTCCATGCGAGACTTTTCCTGGGTGACTGTAGCTAAAGAGCTGGTCAAAGTAGCCAACTGAGTCTTTAGCTGGTGCAGTCTTTTGTCCACTTCCCCACCAGCACACGGCCCATCCCCGCTGCTACTGCTAACGCCACTCTCCGATCCACTGGCTTCTTCGGACTTTAGAGGTGGTGGTCCACGGACTGGTCTGTCGTCATCCACCCCAAACTCACCCTTGGTACTCGTGAGACTGGCTGCAGTATCCAAGCTGGTGGCGGTCCCAGTACTATCCTCACTGTGAGTGGAGCACCGGTCATCCACCGAGTCAGATAAGGTAATGCTTGGGGGCGGAACACCTACGAGGCCAACATCCGCCTCGTGGGATACCGATAGCACCTTGATGCTGGCCTCTAGCGCCTCCTTCTCCTTCAGCAGACTTTTATAGGCGCGGACAACATCCTTGAGCCGTGCCTGGTACTGGAGAAGCTGTTTCTTCTGCGTCTCTATAGTCTCCAGCAGATCTTTCTTGCTTGGGCCGCCCCCGAAATTCATCCCAAACTTCTCCATGGAGGGTTCTGAGAGGTGTGCTCCACGTCAGCGTTCTAACGGACCAGGAGAGGGCGACGAAGACCGCAGGCAGCACTTTAGGCGACCGGGAGGGCTGTCTGGCTCCACCCGCTCCAGCCAGCTGTCCAGGACCGGATGCAGGCGGCGGAGCAGCCTGGCAGTAGCTCTCCCCGCGTCCCAGGCCCGGAGGGCGGGAGCGGGTCCTACGCTGGAGGCGGAGCGACGCAGGTTGAGAAGCGCACTGCCGAGGCTCACCCGCACTGGCTAAGGAGCCGCTCCGCCCTCTCGGTTCTGCCCCACCACAGCAAACCCGCCTGCCCCCACTGTCCGCCAAGAGTTTACGCAGAACGCGGCTCCATCACGACTTCCTAACTACCGCGAGCACTCGGCAACTGCGCTTCCGGGTCTGCTGGAAGTGACGACAACACGACGCCGCAAGCTCCGCCCCCTTAGGCGCCTTGTGGGCGGGGCTACTCTGACTGGTGGTTGGAGGCGGGGCTACTGTAGCTGGTGGATGGGAGGCGGAACCCGTGCTATGGCCAACAGCCTAGGACACATTTGGGAAGATCTCGGGAAGAGCCCAGCAAGCTAAGTGGAGAGTGGTTTGGTGAGGGATCCCATCATGGCCCTCCGGCTGAGACCAGCAAGCGACAGGGGGCGACCTCGCACTGCGTTCTTACCAAACACCCCAGTGTATATAACGTCCACTTGGGGTTCAGGACCTATGTCAATAAAGAGCAACAAGATTCCCATGTAGACGGAAAAATTATGGCCCCTTCTAGCACAGGGCTTGGCATCTAGTAGGTATATAATAGTGCCCTTCCTTAGTACTACTGACTTGATTCAACAAGTATTTACCAGGGTATCTTCAAAAAGTTATGCATAATATGAAAAAACCATTCATACATTTCAAAAAAATATTTTTGCATCAAAGCAAATCTTTCTCCCTGGTGAGGGCACTTGCCATACAGCAAAAACAAAAACGTAAAGAGTTATGCTGTTGGGACCAGCAGCTAGCGTAATGGCTATGTCGCTGGACTCCCATGTAGTTGACCACAGTTTGCATCCCAGACCCAGTGGCTTAAAACTCACACCGGGCACGTGTGCATGCGTGCCCAAGATTCCAAGAGGAGAATGGAGAAGGGATTGCGGTGTGGCCATCCCCCCTGGGGGGTGATTTCTCGCTTTCTTTCTCTCTGTCTCTCTCTGCCTATCTGGCAAACACACGTGCCCTATAGCAAAAACCTCTCCAAAAAAAGAAGAGTTATGCTGTTTAGTCTTTACAATAATTCTATAGAGTGAGTATTATCAGCACTATTTTACAGATACGGAAACATGAGGCACCTATAGGTTAAGTAACATGTCAGGTCGCTTGGAAGTTTAGGAATCCTATCCAAATCAGTCTGACTCTTAATATACCAAGCGTTGTGCCAGGTGATAACACAATGAAGAGACATGGCCTTGCCCTTCAGGAGCTCATAGTCTAGTGAGGAGCCAGACATGCCAACAAAGCCTGCTATCATACCAGCATGTGGCATGGAAGTAGAGTCCAGGAAGACATGTACAGGGGAAGTGCAGAAGGCACTCAGAAACAATACATTTGGATTTGAAGGATGAAAAACAATTGTCCAGCTAATTAGAAATGTGGGAAACATGCATTTCAGGTAAATGGGAAAGGTCCCATGGACTTCTGGGGCATCAGAGACCCTGAACCACTTAGGAAGTGTCGAAAATCATCTCAGGGTAGTAATGCCGGTTACCTGAGGAGGTGGCGACCTATCAGGCTGGCACAATAGGTGGGGACCCAACTTGAGGCATTTAGATGTTATCTTGGGTGATAGTAAAATAGTAAAGAGTTTAAGACAAAGAGTGGGGCATCTTTCAGACTTGTATGACAGTGTGGAGATACCCTGGGGCAGGAGACCTGTGAAGAGACTCTGTCAGTCCCAGCGAAGAGAGTGAAATGGGTGACAACAGGAATGGAGTTTGGAAAGAGGGTGATAGAAGAGCTAAAGGAATAGAATTGCCTGACTTGGTGACTACCAGTCGTGATACTATATGGGGGCTTTTTTAAATGTACTCTTGGAACATGTGAAAGTCTTTTTAGGAATGCAAGTCTCTTACTTAAAAGTTTTTTTGGGGGGAGGGGTTTTGCTACAGGGCATGTGCACTCACCAGAAAGACAGAGAGAGACAGAGAGATAGAGAGTGAGAAATCACCCCCCAGGGGGGATGGCCACGCTGCAATACCTTCTCCTCCATTCTTCTCTCAGGATCTTGGGCACACACGCACACCCCCACCCAGCGTGAGTTTAAGCCACTGTGTCCGGCACTCGAACCGAGGTCCACTACATGGGAGTCCAGTGACATAGCCATTATACCAATAGCTGGTCCCAAAAGGTTTGTTTTCTTTTAAAAACCATGTGCTCACTCATACATGGTTCCTGAAATCTCTTCTCATTACAAACCTTGCCCACTGGAGCTCTCTCTCTCTTTTTTTTTTTTTTTTGGAGAGATTTTCGCTATAGGGCGTGTGTGCTCGCCAGACAGAGAGAGACATAGAGACAGAAAGCGAGAAATCACTCCCCAGAGGGGATGGTCACACCGCAATCCCTTCTCCTCCATTCTCCTCTCGGGATCTTGGGCACACACACACATGTGCCCGGCGTGAGTTCTAAGCCACCGGGTCCAGATCACGAACCGCGGTCGACTACGTGGGAGTCCAGCGACATAGCCATTACGCTAACTGCTGGTTCCCCCCACTGGAGCTCTCTTGAGATCATTTCTTTATGACCCAGAAATATCCTCCTATATATGCAAAACAATCATTTACATTAGATGATTTTAATCTTCACCATAAACACTTAAGACACACATAAGTCTCCTTTTTAAATGACAAAAGTGACAAGTTTTGAAGTTTTTGAAGCCAAATCTTCAAAAAGTGGCAGAACTGAGATTTGAATTAAGGCCTCAAACAGTGCTGGCACATTGCTCAATAAAAATGTGTTGAGTGAAAAATAGTTAAGTTTTCTGATTCCCACCTCAGCTCACCTCCACTCCAAAAGCACTTGATACTGAAAGCCCACTGGGAACTCAGAATAGGCATAAGGCCTGCCGTGTGCCAGAGAACAACCTACTGGTCCAGTTCAACTCAACAAATATTTGTTAAGTATATATTAGATGTCAGGCATTGGCTCAATCTGCACCATAGAAGAAATTAATTCTTTCCTATCTTACTATTATTCTCTAAAGATGCTAAAATGACAGGCAAAAAGAAAGTACATGTGAAGCTTTTTGGGTCCAGCCAGACAAAATCCTAAATAGGCGTGCACTAATAATCCAGGACTGCAAGTCAGTGGCAAAACGAGGAAGAAACTTCACAGTCTACCTGGGCCCACGCTCTATGATGGTGTTCCCAGAGCTTTCCCCAAAAGTTCAAGAGCAGGTCTGGGACCACACCGTCCAAGGTTGGGAATCTTCCACTGGTTCTGCTGGTTGGTAACCTGTGAGGCAGGGATTTTAAGAAAGCATGAAAGCTGGCTAACACATGGGCATCTTTCCCCCCACCCCGACTTCCAGGGCACTCCTTAGGCGATTTCTACAATCACCGAACCACTTACTACGCGTAAAGCCCCTCAGTGGGACAGCCCATGAGTGAGTGGGAGCCAGGCGATTAGAAAAAGTCAACCCCGCACACAGCTTCCGCTCTCCTCCGGAGGGCGGTGCCCAGCTGCAAAGTTCTAAACCGCAGCCCAGAGTAGGACCGAAACAAACGAAGCCCAGCGACCCGCCACCGAGGATGATGCCTGGGGTGAGGGCGGGGGGGCCTACGGAACGATGAAGCCTTTCCTTGGCCCTGCTGGGCTGCCAGTGCAACGGCCCCAGACTGCTCAAGAGCGCTAGACTCCAGACCCAGATCTTGTTAATGCCAACACGGGACCCAGCCCGCTGCGGAGCCCCAGCCAGCTACTAGCCCCACCCGGCTTCAGCTCTGCCCCGAGCCGGCGCTGGGGCTGGGGG